ACATGGCTCTGTTCCCCTTAGGATTGCAGCTGCTGTCTATGTTCTGTCCTCTTATGATTCACTATTCACATGATAAACCATGCATTATATGGTTGCCTCAGAAGGCATCTTTGCATATGTGAATCTAGTAGTAATATAATCGCAAGATCGTAACGTGTAAATCTTGGTGTTTCAGTTAGGTGCTCTTGATATCTGTGTTTACTTGCTGCCTGTTAGTGGTATGACTTCATATTTCCTGTCATAGCTGTTGTAATTTGTGACCCCATTAACAAGCTACTGATGATTTATCATTTATTCTTGAGATAGGGAAATGAAATGGGGGTTAAAGAATTAGATAGCCTTATGACTTTGATTGCTGAGAAGAAGCGGCAAATGGAACAACAAGAATCGGAGACGAATATGCAAATATTGTTAGTCTTCTTGCACTGCCTTAGAAAGCAAAAGCTGGAAGAGTTGAATGAGGTTTGTCCTATGTATTTTTATGGTTCTGAATTTCCGATTCCTTCACACAATGCTAACATTTTAATGTTAAGCGACCTTCGTCGATCTTGCTAATCAAATGAAATAAAAGTTTTACTTATTGCATTTCTGTCGCTCTCTTTTTTTCTTATTCTGAAGTCTATTGTTGTTAATCATATTCACATCTTCTCAATAGATTCAAACTGATCTACAGTACATCAAAGAGGATATAAGTGCTGTGGAGAGACATAGGAAAGAATTATATCGCACAAAAGAAAGGTACTCCATGAAGCTGCGCATGCTTTTAGATGAGCCTACTGCACAAAAAATGTGGCCCTCTCATATAGACAAAGCTAGCTGTTGCTTTCCTCCCAACTCTTGGACACCACTTAGCGCATCATGTCCAGGAAGTTTACAGAATAAGAAGCTTGATTTGAAAGCTCAAGTAAGCCATCAAGGATTTCAAAGGAGAGATGCTCTAACTTCTTCTGACCCTCCTAACCCCCCTATACAATCGGGTAATTTCATTGCTAGGAAGAGGCGAGTTCAAGCACAGGTCAGTTTCTCACTCCATGCATTACTACATTCCTTAAGGCGCAGTGTCCCCCCACATTACACCTAAAAAGTAGGCCTCTTATGTGTTGCAGGCATATATGTTTTGAAAAGTATACAGTACACACATGGCCATTTACTTAACTTTAGTTTTAGATAAAACGGCACTAGTCTTATATCATTTTTTTTATCTAATTCTATGAGGGACATTGCAGTTCAATGAGCTTCAAGAATACTACCTGCAAAGACGACGCACCGGAGCACAGGCACGCAGGCAAGAAGAAAGAGATATTGTTGCAATGAATAGAGAAGGCTATCATGCAGGTCTTCAGGATTTCCAGTCTGTGCTAACAACGTTCACTCGATACAGGTGTGGTTATCTCCTGTGATGAGACAATATACTTTGTTGTCTTTGTTCCATTCTCACTGGGCTCATCTTGTTTGTTGTCATGTTTACTTCAGTCGTCTGCGTGTCATTGCGGAACTAAGACATGGAGATTTGTTTCACTCTGCCAACATTGTATCCAGGTGTGTAGTTTGTAGTCCAATGTAAGCAGTTTCTTATCTGTGCTTTAAAATATAACTAGCAGCAGAACCAGTGCAGTTGCATGGATAGATAAATTTGAGTTTTGGTCATCAGAATTTAAATATCTATGCCTGCACTATAAAATATAAATCATTAATGAACCTTTTTATGGTCCTCCAAGAGTTACCACCAATTATAATTTTGGAGGTACCAAAATCAAGGGCCATAAAAGTTTATTATTCGCTCACCTTATAATCTGGGCCTACCTACCAAAATAAGAAGTTAAATCTTTGCATTATTACTCTGGTTAATGTGGGAAAATCAGCTCCATTAAAGCAAAACATGGAAGCAGCCTTTAGGTTTGAACATCAAATTTTATTATACAATACATGTGAAAGTAGGGTTTCATCAAAGTGGAGCACATTGGGGCAGTGGGAGAGATTTATGCAGGCTGGAGAGCAGGAAGACTTGTACTTCATATATTGATTTCATTTTAAGTGCTTTATTATTAAATTATTGTGCTGAAGATGGTAATAGTACAGCATAGCTCCTTTTTGCGTATCTGGTTTGAGGATGCATGATTCAGCACATTTATTTCTAGTTCTATGTGCTTTCCAATCAACTATTTCACCTTTATTTTACAGCAAATAGGGATGGACATTTGATATTTTTGTTATATTGCAGTATTGAATTTGATCGTGATGATGAACTATTTGCTACTGCTGGAGTCTCGAAACGTATTAAAGTCTTCGAATTTTCTACTGTAAGTTTGCTTTGTCAGGGCATGTCCATTCCATAGTTCATTGTAATTGAGATTACTTAAGGTTGATTTGCATCATTACTTAGGTTGTTAATGAACCATCAGATGTGCATTGCCCGGTTGTTGAAATGGCTACCAGATCTAAACTTAGCTGCCTAAGCTTTAACAAGTACTCAAAAAATGTTATTGCAAGCAGTGACTATGAGGGTATAGTAACTGTGTGGGATGTCCAGACCAGTCAGGTATCCACTCTATTCTACAGTTCATTCTGCAACGACTGTATTATAATTCAAACTGAGGTATATGGTCTCTCTGTATTGTGCCATGCTAGAGTGTGATGGAATATGAAGAGCATGAGAAGAGGGCATGGAGTGTTGATTTTTCTCGTACAGACCCTTCAATGCTAGTATCTGGGAGTGACGATTGCAAGGTATTTGGAAATTAAAAAAAATTTTAACGTATTTGGAAATTAATATAGTTCAATTCCGTTCGCTCTTTCCCAAACTAAGAAAGAAAAGCTTGGTGATTTTTTCTCAAATGTCAAGTACCAAAATCACTTGTTACATTACGACCTGGGTGGGTGGATCTTTCACTTTTATCAGACAACTCACTGCAGAAATGATAGTAGTTTCAGATGGTCACAGTGAATATTAAATTCTCCCCCACCCCCTCCACATTGTCCCCTCTTAGTGCGAATGTGTTATTCAGTCTCATCGATGCATAGGTGGAACCCACTAGAATAGTGGCTTGCAAGTTTTTGTTCTATGCAATGCTTGTCCGATACTAATGGAACCTCGTGCTGTGTATGCCAGGTGAAAGTGTGGTGCACAAAACAAGAAGCAAGCGTGATCAATATTGACATGAAAGCAAATATTTGCTCGGTTAAATATAATCCTGGATCAAACTTCTACGTTGCTGTATGTTGCTTCATTTCTTAGCTTATATTGAATAGTTAATTTGTTTGTTTTTTCCAATAAAAATGTTATTTTGTTTACTTATCAGATACTACAATATTTCAGGTTGGATCTGTTGATCACCATATTCATTACTTTGACTTACGTAATCCAAGTGCGCCTGTCCATATTTTCGGTGGGCACAAGAAAGCAGTATCATATGTGAAATTCTTATCTAACAATGAGCTTGCATCTGCATCAACAGATAGCACATTACGCTTATGGGATGTCAAGGATAATTGTCCGGTATGCTCTTTCTGAGATAATTTTTTTATTTGACATTCTTGCCTCTTGAGCTTCTGTAGCATAGGAAACTGTGGAGCTATTTTCGTTTAGAAAGTACTCCAAACTATGCAGATAAAAGTGCTTTTATTTCTGTTATGTTCCTGTTTTTTCTCCAGAATAAGCTGTCCACTGCAGTACATAGGACTTCTTCCTTCAATAAATATTGATAAACAATTTTGACGAATATGAACTTCAGCACTTCACATAGAATTCTCTTTCATACTGCACCATTTTTTGATTTGGTTCAACATTACATGCACAGTTTGAAATAGTGCAGCAATAAACATAAAATTTGGATGACCGTTTTGTTATAACAACATTGTCTTTTTTCAGGTACGGACGTTCAGAGGGCACAAAAATGAAAAGAACTTCGTTGGGTTGTCTGCGAACAATGAGTATATTGCTTGTGGAAGTGAAACAAATGAGGTTTTTGTTTATCACAAGGTAATCGCAAGCTTCTGGCCTGGTCTTGTTCCCATGCAGCATGCATTGTTATGATGTGTGATTCAGCTTAATCAATGAGATGGGTTCCTAACTCCGCACTGATTGCAGGCTATCTCAAAACCAGCAGCAAGCCATAGATTTGTATCCTCTGACCTGGATGATGCCGATGATGATCCTGGTTCTTATTTCATTAGTGCTGTCTGCTGGAAGAGTGATAGCCCTACCATGTTAGCTGCTAACAGTCAGGGAACCATAAAAGTTCTTGTACTTGCTCCTTGATGTTATGGAGGGTGTTCAAGAGATTTATAGCCAGCTTGTATATTTTACTGTCCAGTTGTTTCCTTTCGTGCCATTATATTCCCCCGAAAGTGGGAACGGAGGCATTATTGATCTCCGGTTAGGGCATGATGTTTTGCAGATGGTCAGCTGACGTAGGGTTTTGAGGTATCAGAATGTGCATAATCATGTTTATGCTGTATAGGTGTAAAGCAGCGAAGTTATTGATTACAAGTGTAACACGAGAAATACACATTAGTAAAACTCCAGCCCCTTTGTACAGAGGTTGTGTTTGAACCCAGAAACTTATGTGGTTATGCCGGTTGATAATACATCTACCTGATATGAATGATCAAACTGATGCCGCAATCAGCATTTGTTTCTTTTCCAGGCGTGTTTAAAGTTTCTTCTGTTTTTTTTTGGGAGGCGGGGGGGGGTTAATTTTCAAGATTTTCTTTTTAAAACATTCTGGTGTGTTGCTTCCACTTTGTAAGAGCGCCTGGTTGTTAAAAATATACAGAACATAATTCTGGAAGCAAATACCACGGTTCCAAGTTGTGGGGCAGCAGTTTCCAAGTCTGATGATAGTATGGTATTTGCAATTCCCTGGCTGTGTGCAGACGGAGTATGGCAAGGTTGCATACCACGGTTTTTTTTTTTTTTTTTGGAATCAGGCAAAAAGCTTTATTGATTGGATAAGATGGTTACATCGTTTACAAGTAATTGAAGAATAGTATTAGGGGGATCATCCACCCATACAAAAAAATTCTTTGCTGAGAATAGCATTAGGGGGATCATCTACCCATACAAAAGAAGTCTTTGCTAACAAAGCTCGCCTTGCTAATTCATGAGCTACTAAATTGCATTCTCTATTGCAATGACTAATAGATATAGCAGCGAAATCCATCCAGTGCTGGCAACATTCGTCATAGATAGGAGCTGCCGCCGTGGCTGAGAAGCCTCCTTCATTCATCGTGGTAATAACTTCCAAACAATCAGCATGCATTTCCACTCGGTTGCAACCGATCTGCTGAGCTAGCAAGAGGCCATCCCTCAGGGCAAACGCTTCTGCCATGGCCGCATCCACCACATGCGGGGTGTAGCTATGTGCCGCAGCAACAAATCCCCCCGCTGCATCTCTGATTACCGCACCCGTGTTCCCTTTGCATGCCACGGTTCTTTCTTCTATACTACTAGACGCCAGGACAGCTTCAGTAAGTAAACTGGAGACTAGTCGGCTAATAAATCGGCTGAAGCTATTTTATTGTGAGAGAAAAATACTGTAGATTCTAGCTAATAAATCGGCTGATAAGTTCAAACGAACAAGTCCTAGATCGTGTTCTTTTTCTTATTTGACCAAAAGAGTGTTCTTTTGTTTATGAAAACAAAATAGTACGGTCAGCCGTCAGCGGGTATCCACAGGAGAAATCTAAAAAGTGCCAACCACTTCCTGTGATTGCCTCGTTTAAATTGGAGTTAGAAATCAGTATTTGGCATTGTAGCATTTTTATTTGTATTTGACAATTATTGTTCAATTATAGTCTAACTAGACTCAAAAGATTCGTCTCGTAATTTATAATCAAACTGTATAATTAGTTATTTTTTTATCTACATTTAATACTCCATATATGTGTCTAAAAATTTGATGTGATAGAGAGAGTGAAAAAATTTGCAATCTAAACGAGTCCTCAATCACCGATTCACCAGCTGCACTGCTGCACGGGGGGGCGGGCGAGGCCTCAATCACCGATTCACCAGCTGCACTGCTGCACGGGGGGCAGTGAATACGCCGGCTGCTGCGTCGCAGCTTTTGTTCGGGCTGCCGAGTCGCAGGCCGTCCGGCGAGCAAGAGGCTCGTTGGCCCTTCGAGCGCCCAACGGTTTCCGCAGGGATCCAGCGAACGTCGCATGCAGATGCAGGGCGCTACGCCGCTACCCGACCCGTCAGTCCGTCACCCGTGCACGCACACAGATGCACTGCACGCCCGGTCGACCGCGCCTGCCCACCCGCCCTGCACATGCCGCCGATGCGGTGGGCGGGCGAGTGGCGACGGGGCCGCTGCCGCCCGCGGGCCGCGGACACGGCGCGGGACGTGCCGACGCGAGCGCCTTACGTTTATACGGCCGCGCACGGGGAAAGAGGTCACATGTTGGGTGTCGGCTAGTCGACTCCACGGCGCTTCCACATCTCTTAACCTCGATCAGAGTCATCCGTGCATGCGCTGTAAACTTCCATGTGGTTAACTGGGCTCGCATGGCCATAGCTTGGCCGCACTGGCGCTAGGTTAGTGTTACGGCCCACGAGCGATGACGTTCCTGAAGAAGGCGTCGACCACAGAAGAAAGACGTAGTCTTATCCTTTACCGTTTTATGATCATTGTAATAGCGTATGACTATTAGGGCCATCTTGCCAACGGCTGTGTGCCTTATAAGGGGCCACTGTCGCTCGTAAGATAATTAAGAAATATTTGCTATTCAGAAATCAGAAGACAGAGCCGTGCTCTGCTCCTTCCTCATCGGCGATATTCCCTTGTCTCTCACGTCTCCGGCGATCGCCGTTGGCCACGAGTGTTACACTTAGCAGCCGGGAAACATGGAACTGGAACATGATCATGGTCACGTTTCTCGTTCCGAAAACAGTTTCATTCTTTATTCTGAGAACAATTATGTTTCTATATAGTATAAAATAATAAAAAACTTCTACAAGTACCATTAATTTCACGTTCCTTGTTCCGTGAATATGGCCCTAGTCTTGACAGCTTGTGCGCCTCTCTCCTGCAGCTCTTGCCGTCCTGCGATGCATTGCGTTGTTACAGTAGTCTAAGGTGAATCTAACAAACCAAAGACAACATAAGACACATCTGCTGCTAAGATTAGATTGGAGTGTTTGGCAGACTGAGAAAGCCGATTTGGCCGGTTCAGTCTACCGTAGCGCCAGTCGTGTTCTGTTTTCAGCTGTAGGTTGGCTTGGGTTACATTACATCTTTTACACATCTAATGAAAATACAAAAAAATAGATAGGGAACTTACCTGTCGACCCTTTCAAAAAAAAACTTGCATCTCCCCGGAATTTCAGCCCTTGCGTGCATAGCCATATACTAGTAGCACGCAGTACTTTTCTTTGCTCTTTACATTAATTAATTAATATAAATAGGATGCCTGTTTGGATTCCTGCAAGATTCAATCATTCAGCCAGATTTATACTTGCATTCTGAACATCCCATTCTCCTATTTCCTTCCCAGCAAAGCTGCCTTGATCTTCTAAAAAAAGCAAGCTGCCATGCAAGTATCAATGATTCAAATGACCGAAGATTCCACTTGAAAATATCTAAACAGCACACTAAAGGTTCGCTTTATGTTCTCTCAGGGGTGCAAACAGAGCGCCTATTAGTTGTGCCAAAAGGACGGGCGAGTCTGATACGGCATTTTTTTTTGGAAGTAGTAGGTTGATACGGCACTTCCGCTGTAGCGTAGTTTCATCTTGATTCGTCTAGATGTGATCGTTTTTGTCGTTTCCTTTTTTATTTCTTTTGGGTACTGAAAAGCGAGAATATTCTGTTGCCATACTCCGAGAAAAAAACAAGATGAGCCGTCCATTGTGGCGTGCACTGATTCCTTTCTTGTGCGATGAATCACTCTGATTACATGCATACGGTGTGTGTGCAGCTGTGATGGCGATAGATACGGCTTGCAGAGTTTCATGTACGTATGTCATAGCTTTTTTTAACCACTGGTTCGCTTTCCCCAAGCCAGCTGGTAAGTGTGATGGGGATCTTTGCCTTATTCTGAGATTCAAGTGGAATCACTTGCATCTGCACGAAGCTGTGTATGTGATGTATCCAGAGGGTGACCAAAACAAAAGATATCACCCGAGGGTGCAGTAGTTTTTTAAACCCATCTCTCATGAATTAAGATGCATGCATGCATGTTCTTGTGCTGTGCTCTTCCCGGTGCATGCACTCTGAGCATCAAGTGCAAAACAGCTGTAACATGTAACAATACTGGTTTCGTTCTGCTTACCTTAAAAGCCGGCTTGTTCGACTTCTTTTTTTAGCCGGAACAGTATTTTTCTCCTATAATAATTCAACTTTGGCTTGTTTTTTAAGCCAATTTCAGCCAGTTGCAATGGCATGGTAGAAGATGCAGGACTGCCGACTGCAGGACACAAAGCTGAACTGACTAATCGCGTGGACTGAACATTGTTTGGGATGTGAACATTTCACTCGTTACAAACTCCAGATATGGCCTATGGGGTCACTCAATCACCAACTGGCCGACGACCTGCTGACCTAAAGAGAAAGGTGGTTTAGGGATACTGGACCTAGAACGCTTTGCAAGGGCGATGCGGTTGCGGTGGCTGTGGCTAAGATGGAAGCAAAGGGAAAGGTCTTGGAATAAACTTGATCTTCCTTGTGACAACAGAGATAAGGAACTCTTCGCGGCATCCACAGTAGTAACAATTGGTAATGGGGAGATGGCTAGTTTTTGGACATCATCTTGGATCGATGGGCGTACTCCCAAAAACATTGCGCCGACATTGTTCAAAAAAGCGAAAAGGAAAAAAATTATGGTACAAAAGGCCTTACAGGACAACCGTTGGATATCTCATATCACCCCATTACTAACTCCACAAGAAATAAATGAATATGTGTCGTTGTGGGAAGTTGTCAGTCAAATTCAACTGGAAGATAGTATCTACTGGCGTTGGACGTCGGATGGTGAATACACAGCTAAGAGCGCTTACAACATCCAATTTCAAGGGGCATTCAGTAAACTGAAACTTATGCCAATTTGGAAGGCGGAGGCGGAACCCAAATGTAATTTTTTTACCTGGACTTTGTTACACAAGAAGATTCTTACTGCCAACAACTTGTTGAAATGACATTGGCCGCACGACCCAATTTGCAAGCTCTGTGGATGCGAACCGGAGACTCCAACACACTTATGCAAGGATTGCTTCTTCTCAAAACAAGTTTGGTCTATCTTGAAGCAATGGCTCGGTCTTTCAGTACTTGTTTCAGTCACGCAAAACGGATCCCCACATAAACACTAGCGTAGATGCCGCTCTAAGATTGAAGTTAGCCAGAGAAAAGTTTTCGACGGTATTATGATCTATTTTTTTGTGGAACATTTGGAAGGAAATAAATAGAAGAACTTTTCAGAACACGGCCCTGCAACCAAGACAAGTAGCACTCCTGTGCAAAGAAGACATAGAACAAAACCAGTTGGCAAATGGATCAGATGGCCAAGCCGTTTAGTTTTAGTCGAGTTTTGGAGGGTGTGTGTGTGTGTGTGAGGGGGGGTTCGTTTTTGTATTTGTGGTCCAGGGCGCCTTTCAGGAACCTCCTTGTGAGTTTAGAGCAGACAGTTTATGTTGTTTTTCCAATTTTGCTAGTAGTTTGCAGTTGGGTGGTTGGCTTGGGTGTCATGTTAGTTGTGGCCTTTAGCCTATGTTTCTCTTTGTAAATCCTGTTTTTCCTCCTTTTCCTCGTCTAACAGAAATCCGGCAAGGTTGTTGTCGCCTTTCTAAAAAAAACTGTATCACAGAGTGGTTTTTGCCATCTTAGAAAAGGACATTTGAGGCCTGCATTTTCTACGGAGGAGCAAGAAGAATCCACAGGTATCAGGACGATCGTATGAGTGGTTAGTACCGAAAGTAATCCTTCCACAGAAAAGTCCACGAGGTAGTGGAGGACCAGGACTCAGAGATGAAATCCGAGCCGGCCAAGTCTTGCTGGGGGAAGGGAAAATGCCACTTTCCTTTACGTCCAATCTTGCTGCTCGATTCCATCTTCATGATTCCCGTTGAAAGCATGAAAATGTAGCATATTTGCACCGCAAGTTTTCACGTTTGCACTACTATAAGACTAGTCATCAGATACGCATAAATCGCGAAGCGTGCAGGTGGCTGCTCGAATCTTGTTGAGCCTGAACTCCAAAGCATGGCCCGGGCCCAAACTGTGCGGATGTGGACTCCCCAAACCAAAGCAAGCGGAGCCTGACGCTCGGTGTTCACAGGACGAGAGCCCATGGCACCACGTTTCAGAGTTCTGGCGGCTGCCAGGCAGGGACGGTG